CCATCGTGTTCGTTGCATCGTTCCGAGTTTGCCGGTGTCATCCTTGGTCTCCGTCGACGGCGGCGCGTGAGGAGGTGAAAGGTCAAAGTTTCCGATTTGTTGAAATCGAGCTCTCCGCCGTTCAAAATTGTGAACCGAGCTTTGTAAGTATCTCGAAATCGCTCAAAATAATTTTTAGAAATTTTTCCGGGATTTTAGCACTGTTCACGCGCCGCCACTGCGCGTGGGGAAGAAAAAAATGACTGGTTTGACCGGTTTTGGTGCATAGTTGACCGGTTTGACCGGTCACAACCCGACCCGACCCGTTTACCGACCCGACCCGTTTACCCGACCCGTTGACTCGACCCGTTGACCCGTTGACCGTTGACCACTGTTGACCAAAACTTTGACTGGCTTTGACCGGGCATTAAACGACCTTTGACTTCGACCGAGTATACCTATCCTGACATTTTTCGACGTTCCAAATCCGATTCCGCTGTTCGTTTTTCGAAATTAGAACCCGAAGGCCTCGAAATATCCAGTCAAACCCGTTGACTTTGATTTTGACTGAAAATTCCAAATTTCCGAAAAGTCACATTTTATGCTTTCGACGTCCTGAATCCGAATCCGAAGTCCGTTTCGCCAAATTCAAACCCGGTAAGCCGTATTTCACTGATTTATCACCCGATTTGATCCGTTTATCGCAATTAAGCTCCGGTTCTGATATAATTTATGTTGATATGTATCTGAGGAATTATTTGAAGTTGAATTGAAGATCAAAGGCATTCGAATGGAATTTTTATGGTCGATCGGTATTGCACGGAAATCGAGGTAATACTTTACTACCTCTTTATGCTTTATGGAACATGTTGATATTGGTAAATGCATGAATAAGATAATGTTTGTCACTTTTGTGGAGTTGAATAATTTATTCACTCGATATGAATGTGGTAGAAATTCTGTAACTGAATACGGATCGAATGACTAAGATAAGAGATTGATAATTGTTAGAATTAAATTACAAGTTTGTGATTGGTGATAAAGAAATCAGCTCTGGATTTGTAACTTATATTTTATATCATCAATGGTTAAATGTTAAAGATACTTGGATGAAAAATTATGAGAATACTCCGATATGGTAAAATTACGAAATTACCCTTATGTTGGAAAATGATAAGAATTGCCCCTGGAAGTTGGTTAATAACTCTAAAAAGACATATTGATCCGATATAACTACTGATGTGCATAAGAAATGTTAGTTTTATTTGGAAATTATGGATAACCGGTTTTAATCCTATGAGAGTTTGTGAAGGAATCATTTCAAAATCAAAGAATGTTCGGGAAAGCAATTGATCATAGGATCTCTAAATTATAATTATTTTCGTTAAGAGCTAATATTGAAATTATCTGGTTAAGAAATTACGAAAATGCCCTTGAGAGATAAAATAGTCTGAATTGACCCTGAATGAGAGAGTACTTTGAGGATTTGTACTTAACTCGATTAAGTACGAATTTAATTGTTAAGATCCTGTCTTTGTACAGAAAAATTTATAATATTTCGTTTGTAAAATCTGAGAAGACACTTGACCCGAAAATATTCGAATAAGGAGTAAATACTTGAAGAGTAATTTATCGGAGGTATTCTGCTGACAGAATTGTACGAAAGGACTGAAGTAAATGATAAGATTGAATTAAATAATAAGACCGGATGGAAAGAAATGATTGAAATATTCTAGAATTATAAAATGAACAAATTACCCCTGGAATGGAAATGACTCAAGAATGTCACCAAGCTCAGGAATGAATGGATATACTCAAGCTTTGAAATGAATAGAAAAAATGTTAAGCACCAAAATAACCAAAATGCCCTTATGACCTAGAATAAGTAAATGTCTTGGATTAATTAAGAAATCCAAATAAACATGGATGTTGTGCTACCAGTAAAAGTTGTGGAACGCAACTTAAGTGATTAACCAACGTTAGTACTATATCATTACCTGAATGATATAAGTATCACTTGAATGTTTGTTCATCTTCTCAAATTTGGATCGATGATAATTCTGGAAGTACTTGGCGCAGCTCAACTCTAGAGCGCATACAGTACTAATAAGTGGGTAGTCGTTAGTCAAATCAACCACGAATACCAGAATGACTTTATTATATGAATAAATTGAAATGAAATGAAGTACAACGTGTATTTGAAATTCAGAAACGTCTGAATTATTCTGGAAAACTTTAAAGTAATCGGGATAGACTTGCTTACCAAACGAACTAAGTAACATCAATGACTAAGGATTAAATAGGTGATTTGATGAGTTTGGAAACACTGTTGAACTTACATGATGAATTGTCATTATGGGTTATGAGCCATGGATCAAGTACGTCAGTATTTCCTGATATTGTTGAAACGTGGAAATGAAATAAAGACCGTTGGAAGATTTATTCAGTGATGATTATGGGGATGATCTATGGATCTGCACTATGATATTAAAGAGTGAATACACTGGAAGGATAATGAATTGACTTGTTGACATGCATCAGTTGAGAGTTGTGTAACTCGAGTTGTTTGATAATATGATCGATAGTCGTAGATTGTAAATGACTTGAATCTTCGATTCTATATTTCATCTAAAATCACTTCGGTCATGTTTGAAAAAAAAACAAGTAACGCAGATGGAAAAGATTCTGAATATCTCATTTGGTTCAATTGGGCTGAAATCCTATGAATTTAAAGTATATTCCTAAATACCCCTGATTGTTTGGGTAATGGAATCACTCGCAGTAAATCTGAATTTAGAATTATTATGTATAAAGGTTCCTGAACGTTTTCCTAAAGCACACGAAAATATAGTGGGATTCTAATGTATCAACATTAAATGTCTGGCTAGATCGGTTAGTAATCGATTCTCCTCAATAGGACCTTGTTCCAGGAATTCGTTCAAATTTCATAAGTTTCATGTTATCCAAAATGATAACTACAATGGCCTCTGAAAATACTTGGATTCTCTAGTGTGTTCCTTACTTATTACTGAACTGTTTTATTGGTTTTAATATGTGGTACATCGAATTCATTGGTTATTGTTTTATGGATGCACCAATTTAATGTTATAATTTATGGAATATGGCTGCTATCTAATTTTTGTTTTGAAATGGTATATGATTACCATGTTTTGAATTTATGGAATTTACGTCACGGTGCAATTGAATTTTGGAATTGAATTACGATGGAATAGCACTGATCAAGCTAAATGGGCCTAATGTGACTCTTGAGGGCCCCAAGATGTTTCATTAGGTCGGCTTTCCTTTGCTGTGTGCTTAGGATAAGCTATATGGACTTATTGACTTGGGCTTAAGGATACAAGCTTCATAGCCTATCCTTAAGTCGGCTTTCTTTTTGCTATGTGCATAAAGTAAACTATATGGAAAATAATTTTGGGAACTACTGATGGTGTACCAGAAAAGGGTTTAAACTATGATTTTCAAAAGTTAAACTCTTTTACGAAATTGTGAGATTTACTGGACTATGATTTGTACCTATTATGATTTTATTATACTGTTGGAACACACTAGACATCCTATTCGATCTCCTGAAAATGTCATACTTTGAAAGGTTTCTTATGAACTGAGATTCATGGCTTCTACTCGATGAACTTCTAAGGGAACCCCAAATTATTCTGCAAGCTGGTATACATATGATTCAATAAGGAAATTATATGGCTTTCCATTTATCTACATGTCATGTAGCATCATCTGGTAGTTCTGTATTACTGAGCTTTCCAAAGCTCACTCTATTACTCACCTTTTCAGGTTAAAACAATTGTACCAGTGCATCTATCGACTTCAGTAAGGGAGTTCTTCCGGCGTGGTTGCAGAGTATGGTACTTGTGATTAGGGGGCATGTAATTGTATTTTGATTTATATACGAGTTTGGAAATCTGTTTTATTTTTAAATAGTGATAAATGATTTTATAAGTTTACATGTTCTGATAAAAAGTTTTAAAATTTCCGCTATTTTTACGGTGGGTCGCTCCGGTGGCCCTAATGTGACTTCCCGAATCGGATCGGGCTACCCGCATCGGTTTGGGGTGTTACAATATAAGACTTTAATCAAATTATAAAGTCAATTCGATATGTTATTTAAAATTTAAAGAATAAATTAAAAATTAATTATTTTTAACTTATTAACAATTCGATGATCAAATCGATGATATAAATTATCAAAATATAATTTATTTTTTAAAATGACAAAAGATAAACAAAATTAAAATGAAATTTATAATTTACCCATTATTTTAAGTTACTAGGTTGTAGATTCATGATTTGTGTCTTTCATTGCACGTGCCATCATGTGCCACTCCTCCTTTTGCTTTGATTTGCTTTTCTTCATCTCATCTAATTAATCTGTTAATCTTACGTGTGGACAAAGTTTTGTGAGAACCAGTGAAGGTCGAAACTATACGTTTTGGATTTATATTTTTCTGTAAAATGTATGCGATTTAGCTCTAGATTTTAAGTATGATTTAACAGGACATGTTTGCTTCAATTGGTTGACAAGTGCTTTGTTCTACGTAATTAATCTCGATTATATTCTTTGCATAGTTAATTTAATTTAGATCAACATTAACTTACCAGTGTAGTAATATTTGACCCATTCATATATTTGTCACTATTTTTTATCAATAATTTATGAATAATGACTGAAGCTGTCACCAGTGTAGTAATATCGATTATAAGCGTACATCTCAATTATTATTTATATTGTTATTTTGATAATAATAAACATTATAAATTTAAATATATTTTTTTAAGTTATATCAAATTGAAAGCTAAAGGGTCGAATCTTAAATTTCAAAATAATAAGGGATTAAAACCAATATCAGATATTTTTGTGTCTAGGGAAGGCGATTGTCGCTTTTCAAACGAATCAAAAGCTTGCGGATGAGAGACGATTAGAGGCCTTAATTTGTGTTGGGCCTAACTTTGGGCCCTTTATAAAAGTCCTGCCATCTCCATTTCTCCACATTCAACCTCCTTCAGTTTCCTCCGCGAATTTTCTCTATCTCCAAACACCATCTTTACGAGAAAGAAGAAAGAAAAATGGCTGATCAGCTTACCGACGAACAGATATCTGAATTCAAAGAGGCCTTTAGCCTATTTGACAAGGACGGCGATGGTCCCTTATCTTTCTCTTTTAATTTACTTCTCGACGCTTTTTTTGAAAAAAATAACAATGTTATAGTGAATTTCTTCACTCGATTCAGCTCCGATTCGCAGATCGAATCATCGTTATCTTTTTCGATGCATAATTCGATATCTGTTCCTTTTTCTCTGGTTTCATTTTGTGATCGTTTTCTTTTGCGATTCGATTGATGTGACGTGCCTAAGTTACCTCATTATGAATTTATGAGCCTTTTCATCTTCTTTTTTGATTTCGTTTATTTTGATTTTTGTATTGCTTTTAGTGTTTCTTGCTCTCTTTCATTGTCATTATTGTTGACCTTCATCGGTCGTCTACTTGATTTCATTTATTTAGTTGTTATGCTTAGGATTATGTCCTTTTATTTGGTGATTTGTAGCATACTTCATGTTTGAGATTTTATTTGATTTTTGGCAGTCATATGATTAATCGTTCCGTTTTCTTGTGTGTGATTTTAATCTTATTAGTGAAGCTTCTTGATTCCCTTTAACTGAACCATTATTTTCAACGTATACTGAAATATGTTGTCTTTATTAGTATTTTATTGTACATGGGTATTAATGGTAAAGTCATTGACTCATTGTTCCATCTTGAAAATCGACCTCTACATGTCTATTTAGTTTGCTTGAAGCTTGATACGTACGAATCCATGATGATTCTATAGGTTAATAGTCATGAAAATTTAAAACTCCGGAATAGTTTTTTTTTTTTTTTGTGATCTGTTATCCTAATCAAAAAAATATAACAATATAACGTCTTATGACACTTTAAGGTTATGGAATTCTTCTATGATAGGGATAACATGTATACTTTTTTGAGCAATTACTTGTTTTGTATTTATTATCTAGTCCACGAACCATCAAATTTTGGATGCCTGTTCACTTTGAAACTTTTGGTGTTGTGCTGGTGACTTGATACTTAATCCATTGCTGCTTGATATTCTTTTGGCACATTGAAAACAAGTTTATTATCTTGCTTGGCCATGTAAGTCTTTGTGAAGTATCTTGGCAGACACTTACAGCATATAGAAGTTAGAAAATCATCAACCATCTTTTAACTTGAAATTTTATTGTTATGTTGCTCCACTCTTCTCCCCCCACCCCCGAAGTATCCATGTCTGGTGCTTGTGTGCAATTCATATTTGGGCACGGGTAACTGAATATGGATCTCTGATAATCCTCGATACATGGAAGAAACATAGAAAAAATGAATGTATCTGCGCTGGTCACATTTCTGATATTTACTCAAGCCAGAGTAGCATAGAATTACGTGCCTTTCTGCCAGTAACTGTTCATCTTCTCCCCTGCCTGAATGTATTTAGCGGTGTTGATTGTTTCAGTGCCAATATTGTAGTATTTGTTTGTTGCATTTATTCTTATCCTTGCTGCAGGGTGCATTACTACTAAGGAGCTGGGAACTGTAATGCGATCACTTGGCCAGAACCCTACTGAGGCAGAACTGCAAGATATGATTAATGAAGTTGATGCCGATGGGAATGGGACCATCGATTTTCCTGAATTCCTTAACCTGATGGCAAGGAAGATGAAGGATACTGATTCAGAAGAGGAACTCAAAGAGGCGTTCAGGGTGTTTGACAAGGACCAGAATGGTTTCATATCCGCTGCGGAGCTTCGTCATGTCATGACAAATCTTGGTGAGAAGCTTACAGATGAGGAAGTTGATGAGATGATCCGTGAAGCCGATGTCGATGGTGATGGACAGATAAACTATGAGGAGTTCGTCAAAGTCATGATGGCCAAGTAAGAGTCTCCATCTAACCATAATCGAGATCTGAAACTGGTGAAGATTGAAAAGAACAGGGCAGATCAATTTGCTAAGATTTATATTTTTTCAGTAGGATATCTATGTTTTTATTGTACTAGTTTTTGGTTGTGGATTTCGTGTTTACATTTGCCCTGTTTTGTTCTTTAGTATTAACCATTTACATTTGGTGTTCTTCCGACTATTTGAAAACAGAAAAAACATTCAATGTTTCTTCTGTATTGTTCCAATCCATTTTTAGTTTTTTTTAAGGAAATTTTAATTCTGCATTTGAAAATTTCAGATTTTAGAATTTAGATTTAAATTTAATTTACTATGTAAATGATAACATAATACACCTTGTATCAAATTCAGAATTTCAAAATAATTATTAAAGAGTTATTCAACATATCTATGTATTTAAAATATAATTAATGTTGTTTTTTTAATGTTTTATTATTCAATTTACAAAATCTTTAAAATTTAAAATATAAGTTTGCTACCTTAAGTTGTAGTTGAAAACTTGAAATAATAAAAGGTCATGCCAAAATTAAATTCAATTATTTTCTTTGAATAATAATTTTTAATTAGTTTTTCCACGTTCACAATGATATAGGACAAATATGATAATTTAAGTATTAAAATAAAATAAAAACTATTTAAAATTAAAAATGAAAATATATCTATAATTTAAGCATCAAATCAAAATTTATTATAGTTATATAATGATAATTGCGTAATTTTATAATGTAAAATGGGTGTAAATATAACTATAATTTAAAACGAAAATATAAATTTATGAATAAATATAAAATTACATAAATTAATTTTAATTTTACATGTAAGTGTATCAATTACACTCATTTAAATTAAAATAATTTTATGTATCTTTTTAATTTTTTTTTATCATTATCATTTTAATTTGGTTGTTGAATTTAATTATGTTTATTTCTGAAATAAATTTAATATCTATATTATAGAGTTGAAAATATTTTTACCATTATATATATATTTAATGATTGTAATTTTACTAAATTAAGTAAATTATTAAAACAAATTGTTCAAAACTTAACATGCATCACTTACGTAAATGAAATATTAATTATATAAAATATATTTTTAAATATAAAAAGACGGGTCATTTGTCAGAAAAAAAAAAGAGAGCTGAGTCAAAATTGTAATTTACATTAAGAAGAGAAGTAGAAAAAGGAGTATATATTTATATATAAACGGAATGACATAGAAATTTGAACTTTATTTATTCTTTTTTTTATATATTTGTATTTTGTTTTGAAGTAAAATCAAGATACAAAGAAGAATCAAGATTAAAGGAAAATCTAAAATTTTCTAAACTTCCGATCGGATACTTCCTCAATTCATCGATTCCAAAACCCTGAATCATAAAAGAACCTTCCCAATGACAAACAGAGCAACATCGCCGGCGGTGACGCTGAAGGCTGAGCAGAGCCCGCTTATATCTCCGACCAGCTCCCGTTCAGTGACGGAGACGGTGAATGGTTCACACAGGTTCGTGATCCAGGGTTACAGCTTAGCTAAAGGGATGGGCGTGGGGAAGCGCATTGCGAGCGACAATTTCACTGTGGGCGGCTACCAGTGGGCCATTTACTTTTACCCCGACGGTAAAAACCCCGAAGATAGTTCCACTTACGTCCCGTCTTCATTGCATTGGCTAGCGAAGGCACCGATGTTAGGGCCTTGTTCGAGCTGACGCTTGTGGATCAGAGCGGTAAAGGGAAGCATAAGGTTCATAGCTATTTCGATCGGTCCCTTGACAGTGGGCCTTATACCCTCAAATATCGCGGCAGTATGTGGTAGGTGTTTTCTTTTTTTTATCTTTTAATTTTCTTTGATGGAATGTTTAGAATCAAATGAATACATTATACATGGTGCGGAAGAAGGGATTGGTAGAAGATGACATAATGTAATTGATTGAAAATGAATGAATCTTTCTGTATGAAAGAAAGACTACACTTTTTTATTTTAATTTGTGAAAAATGCTCGTTGTAGCGAAGCAACAATTACATGGTTCATACGTTACTGTATCTGTTAAATTTTTGAAGGAAAAGATGTCTTCAAGGTCACAGGGTCTTGAATATCTCTTGATGTACATCTTTTATACGGAAATAAGAGCTTCTTATATTCTTTGCCACTGGAAGAAGTAGGAGACTTTTTATGTGGGAACTATATACATATTAACTAGCTTTTGATATCAATTTGAAACTTGATTAAGTGTGATGATTGCTACGGTGGGAACTTGGTGTTTAGCTGTAGAAGAATTTCTGTGTTTCCAAAATGCTATATTTATTGACTTTTGGCTGTCTGGTTGTATGCAGTTCTGATTATAATGTTGGGCTTTATCTAATAGAACAAAATCTTCGGATGGTCTACTTAAATTGTTGACCAGACTTAAATTGATATTATTTCTCCCATGTTCTCATTAATCTAGGGGATACAAGCGTTTCTTCAGAAGAGCTTTACTTGAAACATCAGATTACCTCAAGGATGACTGCTTGAAAATAAATTGTACAGTTGGAGTTGTAGTTTCAGCAGTAGATTGTTCACGGCTACACATAATTCAGGTGCTATAGTCGGATATAGGAACACATTTTGGTATGCTGCTGGAAGATATGAAAGGTTCAGATATTACATTTGATGTGGCTGGAGAAAAATTTCATTCTCATAAGTTGGTATTGGCTGCTAGATCCTCTGTTTTTCGATCTGAATTTTTTGATGGGGCGGATCGAGAAATGAAAGAGATAGTTATCACCAGTTTAGAACCTAAGGTTTTTAAGGTAAAACCTTTCACGTCTTTCTTTATGGCTTTCCTCTAAGGGCTTAATCTGATTCCTGTTTTTTGGATGTTATTTTTGTAGTCATTATCATTACCTTTTTTTGGTTATGTGTCAAACAGGCTTTGTTGCACTTTATTTACAGAGACACTCTTTTGGAAGACGCTGAGAGTGCTGGTTCTAGTTCTGCCTCTGAATCATCAGTATCTGAAACACTAATAGCTAAATTGTTAGCAGCAGCTGATAGGTATTGTCTGGAGAGACTAAAATTAATGTGTGAGTCCCGTCTCTGCAAGAATATATCTGTAAATTCTGTTGCCAAAATTCTAGCCTTGGCCAATGAATATCATGCTATGGAATTAAAAGCTGTTTGTCTCAGATTTGCTGCTGAAAACCTTGCAGGTCAGTTAACCTTCTTCCACTTCATACATTTTCTTTTGACATGCATTTACCCTATGAACTCATCAATTAGTGTAAAAAGTGTAGTGAAACTAATAGTTATTTAAACATAGAACTGCTAATGGTTTGATCTTGTTACTTCTCTGCAACTGCAATATGTGTGAGGATAATGCATTAGGCACATAGCTATGATTACAGATTATGATTGGTCTGGACTATAAATTTTTTATCTTTTGTATGTTGAGATGAATGGATTCAGGATTTGAAAAAGGTAAGCAAGGTAATTCTACATTGGTTACTTACCCTGAATGGTGCAGGCTGATGTATCTATTTGGTGGTTGAATTCATCGAGTTATATTCTAGTTTTATCTGTTGGACACTTGAGACTCTATGGTTGTATATGCTTCCTCTTGGGGTGACAATGAATTTGTGTCATTATTAGGGCTTGTTGGCCAAAACTCTAGTGTTTGAATTATAATAGACTGTTTTAACCAGGCATTAATACAGTTTTGGAGGAAAATGATTCATAGCCAACCATAAACATAGATAAGCATTGTGAGAACTGTCAATGTTCAATTGTTTTATCATTTTTATATATTTAAAGGATCTGGGGGCGCCAAAATGACCGAGAAAAGTTTTGATATAGTTAAATTACCAAAGTAAAAATTATTAGTTTTTTTTTTTTGCTTTTGGTATGTGGCCTGACGGGAACAGAGTCATGTCTTATGTTGTGATGTTCTCGTTCTGTGTCTTTAGTAAAGTTGTGGATTGGGTAATAGGTACTCTAGAGAGCTCGGCCATGTGCTAAGGCTTCGCAGTTTTCATGTGCAAACTTCTTATTCTCTGATCATGATTTATGAATTTGACCTTCTTTCAGAGAATGCTCTAAATCTGTACTCTCACAAATGATATGATGCTTTAGGGGTTATTCTTGTTAGAGTAGGATTAACATCTTTTAGTTTGTTCTTAGAATATTTCTGGATTTTCCAGGAGCATAATAGATAGATAGATAATATCAAAATCAATAATGATTTACGATGCCAGTCTCTAACGCGTGTTGTTATAGCAGCTGTCATGCGATCAGATGGCTTTGAGTACCTAAAAGAGAACTGCCCTTCGCTTCAGTCAGAGCTCCTGAAAACCGTTGCAGGTTGCGAGGAGTATGGTAGCATCGGTGGGAAAATAAGAATGCGTGGGCACAACTTTCAGATGGTGTGGATACCAATGGGAGGTGGGTGAGGCAAAGAACATGATTGCTGATCTTAAGTTGTAAATGCATTTGAATTTGATCATGTACCTGTTCGTTCAATATGAGTAAATGGAATTTTGTATAGTTGGTGAGTTGTGTATTGTGAATATTTGATAAGCCTTTATAATTGTTGGTAGGGAAAAAATGACTTGGTCCCAGTGTTGTGCTCACGACATTGCTAACAAGTTTCGTCATTTTGATGCTGGAGATAACAACTGTTAATCTATTATATTTACAAGCTAAGATAAATTTATACGAGTGCACTTGGGTTTATAAAGAAAATAAATGAGGTAATAGTATTTGTGAAATCATTTAATTTATTGACAAATGCATCAAATAATAATCTAAAAATACGAAACATATATAAATATAGCATCTACACTAAAAAAAATCGCAAACGATATTAAAATAGTGACAAATATTCAAGTTATTTCTCTTTTATTTTTTAAATAAATATAAAAAACATTTGATTCAAATTAATTTCACTCATAAGAAAACTTTTGTTCTACTACCCTTACATCAAATAATAGTCTTAAATATATAATAAATGATTATTAAGAATGTAAAATTAGAGTTTTAAATCCCAAACAACATGGGAAGAAAGGCAAGGAGGGAAGCTGGACCAGGGATTGCAATGTTCGAAGCACCCTTGGTGTTTCCACTTGAAGGGCCTGGAGCTAATTCTTGGGCAAATCCTGATGAAAATAATACCAACATGATAAAATTTAAATTTTTGTAAAATAGATAATTAATATATTAAAATTTAAACACACTTATTACAAAACAAATACTTGCTAGTGAAGAAATAAAATGAATTACCTGGAGATATAGATCCTTTAGGGCTTGGGGTTGGTGCTCCGGTTGGACCGCCGTTAACAACTGTAGCAATTTAAGAAAATAAACATTTAAATTTAAATTCTTTAATCGAAAGATATTGCGTATTTAAAACTGTAACACAGTTACCCGAGCATAGGCTAACGGGAGGAGTTGAGACATGGCAAACTTTAGGCAGCTTAAGAGCTCTGTCCATATCAATGTTGAACCCATAACTGGCTGTCTTGTTCTTATCCAACAGATAGCACAGACACTGGGGGCTGCTCTCCACAAGCCCCGCCAGCTCCGGACAGCAAGGCTTGTCCGGCTTTGTCAGATTGCTTCCGGCCACCACGTACGACAAACAATCCGACAAGTTCAACAAATTTGTCATACAGTCCGGTGTCGGTGCCTCAGCGGCCGGCGACGGTCCAAATGCAACTGCCCCTGCTGGCTCAGATGCCGGTGATGTAGTAGATCCTTCAGTGCTTGGAGTTGGAACTGCGGTTGGAGCACCATTGATAACTGTAGGAACTCAAGGAAATAAATATGTTGAAGTTTGTTTTCAAGTCATTGTATGCTCTTTTTACATCAATAATACTTGTTCTAAGTATCAAATAAGAGTAAAGATAGTGCATCTAAATAACATTAACATTAAACTCGAACTTGATTTGATTTTGTAACATTAGTTTTTTTTATATAAAAAAAATCGTGTTTACAGTATGTTGCATTCGAAATTTTCTAAATAATAAGGTTGGATTAGAGTAAATTCGAATTTAAGATAAAAAAAATATCTGATAAGAGTCTATCCAAAATGAAATAACAATATAATCATTTATATATTTAACTCTAATTACAATAATATATATATATATATTAATTAGGTTTTCTTTTTATCAAACAAAAATAAAATATATATGTGTGTGTCAAATTTAAACTATGTGAATCGATAAATTAAATTAAAATCCATGCACCCCAAAAAAAATTTAAATAAATGGACAGTGAGCACGTGATTCATTTATTTGGTAAAAGGACAGAAGTTAAAAGTTAGTTGAGAACAAACCGAGAAATCTTAAATGCCCACCTAATCTATTCAATGAGAGGGAACCAATTCCTCGTCACCCAAATTATCCAATTTAAATATTAAAAAATATACGTATCAAACATCTATAAACTATGGCTTGAGCTTAACCAAAATCTAATATATTAAAATCTTTAATTATTTAAAATATGTTAAACAGTTGATGCGATAATCATTTTTTAAATTTCATTTAATTGGATAGAATTAATATATGATTAAACTGTTAACAAATTTCAAAATATATTCTTATTTAGACTTAAAATTTGATACAATATCACATTCTTATGTCAATAAAATCAATTAGCTTGAATATTAAATAAACCGACCAAGTTTTATACGAAATATATTTAAAGTACGTAAATTAGGTTAGAAACATGACAACCCGAACCTAATGTGTATGTTAATTAAAATAAAATAAATATACATAGTAGCAAGATGAATTGAGGAAAGATTAAAGGTTGGTCTCTTAATTTTTTTAAATTATTATGTATTTTACTTTTTTTATTAATAATTTTTTTTAAAAATCTTTTAAAAATTCATTCATAATATAAAATCACGCCTATTATCTTACATAATACAGCTTGAAATATATGCCACATTAGATGTAAACCGATATTTAATGAGTAAAGAAAGGTGAAGGAAGTACCAGAGCAGAGGCTAACGGAAGGAGTGGAGACATGGCAAACATTAGGCAGCTTAAGAGCTCTATCCATATCGATGTTGAACCCATAACTGGCCGTCTTGTTCTTATCCAATAGATAGCACAGACACTGAGGGCTGCTCTCCACTAGCCCAGCCAACTCCGGACAGCAAGGTTTGTCCGGCTTCGTCAGGTTGCTTCCGGCCGTCACGTACGACAAACAATCCGACAAGTTGAACAAGTTCGTCATGCAGTCCGGAGTCGGCGTCGGCGCCGGTGCCTGTGCCCACGTCAGCTTGGCGCTGCAGAATGCTATTACAAGGATGGCGGCAACGATGTGATTCATTTTTTTCGGAAAACACTCAGATTCACAAAAGATTTTAAGACGGTGTGTGCGATAGACAGAGAGAGAGAGGTGTATATATTATTATCCAAGAGTGTTAGTTCGGAATTTGAAAGCTCCGAGTAATGTCAAGCCAAATTTAATTCAATTTATTGCAACCGCCAACTAAGTTTTTCTCTATCTCCCAGCTATAATTAAGTTCAAACATTTTAAAGCTCAGCTTCCTGTCTATACACACTCATATATATATATATATATAGATAGATTGATTGATTATGTTTCTGTTTTAATCATTTTACTCTTTTTTTATTATTTAATTTTTTATCATATAACCTTTAAATGTTTAAGTTTTATAGATAAATTTATGCAAAAGTCTCTTAAATTTTCTTTGACTCATTGGTATCAAAGTTTTATTTTCTTCATTTTTTTTCTGAACAATTCTTACTTAGAAGGAAATAATAATTTTGCTCTTAGTGGTATTGAACCCACGACTTAAAAGAAAAGGAGATGTCAACTAAAAAATTTTAACCACTTATTTTAGAGATTATTAATTTTATTTTATTAAATTTAAACGATAAAGAATTGAATATAAAAATAAATATATTATAATTATATTGTGACTATAATAAAATCAAAATGTAATTTGAATTTGGATGATATTTTAAAGAAAATTTAACTGAGAATAAGAAGAGAAAAAACAGACCATTTGTAAAAACGGGAGAGCTGATGATGAGGCAGGCCATTGCAGCGACAATTTGTAAAAACCCATGTGTTTGCATTGTCACAAAATCGGATCCAAGCTATTACGAAACGAAGGAAGGGGGCAGCCCAATGTCCCATTTACTTACAAACCAACATCCATTTTCACGTGAAAATACCATAAATATATCTTAAATTACATTTTGTTCCTTCTACATAAGAAATGGACAAATTAATCCCTGTACATTTCGAAATGAGTGAATCGGTCCCAATGTCTAATGTTTTTGGTGCTTATTTCTTTCTTATTGTTGTTTTTTCGCTTCTGTATTTTTGTCCTTTTACCCCATTTTCCATCAAAATTCTCAGCGGAACCACCCCTTTATTTTAGTTTCTTTATTAAGGTACAATATGGCAATCAAAACCAAAGTACTTTTGCCCAAAATACAGGTAGAATCAAGGCTTAATGATATTTTTAACCCTCAAATTTGTCAAAAAGATCATTTTAGTTTTCAAATTTTTTTGTTGTTTATTTCAACTTTTAAAATTTTCCATATTAAATCAAGTTATAGAATGATCATTAAATTTACCAAATAGTTATAAAATACTCATTAAATTCATCTAATTATTATAAAATGATAATTGAATTTATCAAAATTTTACAATTATTATAATTTTATTGTGATCATTCTTTAATAATTTGATAAATTTAATGATAATTTTAAATAATTTAATAATCAAAACAATCATTTGAACATAATTCGATGTCTAATGTATCTAATGGTAAGAGAAAAAATATTATGACCTAATCATATTTTTTTATCGAAATCGTATCTAATATAGTATACATACAAAATCTCTGACATATTATATAAAATTTAATATATCATATTATTTGGGAAATGAGATGTACAAGTTTTTTTCCTACTTTTCCAAGCAATAGAGTTGCGGAAACAATGTTATCAATTTATATCCATTCCAACCTTCCCAATAAGAGAAAATGAAAAAAGAAACGAAAATTGCACATTTTACCTAATTTTAATAGGATAAAATGTACTATAAGTCACTAAACTATGATCAAATGGTCGTTTGATTGTTTTAATTTTTAAAAATTATAAAATAGTCAATAAATTTATCGAATTATTGTAAATTTATTATATATTTTTACTTATTTTGATATTTTAGTGACTATTTTATAATAATCAGATAAATATAATAATTATTTTAATAAATTTTAAAAAATGAGATACCAAACAATCATTAAAGCATGGATGAGTGACATCCGTTGTATTACCCATTTTAATATCAAAATCCCCCTTAATAAATACCCTCCCATTTCTCTTGTTATAAAGTAGAACATTTGTGTTTTGTAGTGGAAGATGATGAAGCTCGTCGTCGTCGTCTTCTTCTATTACTGCTCAAGATTTTTAACATTAACCTTAGCCCAAGCTCCATCAACGGCACCTGCATTAGCTCCGACGGCTTCCGGTCCAACAAACGTCACCAAAATCCTTGAAAAAGCTGGCCAATTCACCATCTTCATCCGACTTATGAAAGCGACCCAGGTCTCGAACCAGCTCCTCGGCCAGCTCAACAACACCAACAATGGCATCACCATCTTTGCGCCCAGCGACAGTGCCTTTTCCACCTTGAAATCAGGCACTTTGAACTCCCTCTCCGATGAGCAGAAAGTGGAGCTGGTCCAGTTCCATATCATTCCAACGTACCTATCTTCCACCCAGTTTCAGACCATTAGCAACCCTTTGAGAACGCAAGCGGGGGGACAGCGGCGACGGAAAGTTCCCACTCAACGTCACCACCACCGGAAACACTGTCAACATTACCTCGGGGCTGACCAACACCAGCGTTTCCGGCACCGTATTCACCGACGGTCAGCTTGCCGTTTATCAAATCGATAATGTTCTTCAGCCTCTGCAGATATTTGATCCCCAGCCTCCGGCTCCGGCGCCGGCGCCTTCTAAGCCGAAGAAGAAGAAAGAAGAAGATGTGGCCGATAGTCCTGATGATGATTCCACAGCTGATAAATCCGAAGCCGTGAGCTTCACCGTGGCAAAAAATGTCGGTTTGTTTGTGATCACTGCCATAGTTATTGCATTCCCTGCACTGTTATAATAAAATCAAAGGTCGATCTCATGCATGTTATTATCATTATTAAATCTTGTTTTTATATTGTATATTCATCATACGAGAGTCCATTGCTATGATGGTTGAGTTTTATCTCATTTATTCTCTTTTATCCCTTTTTACATTTCTAAATAAAAATAAATAAATGTAAGACAGAATTACAAAAATATTTTGGAACTTAAAATTCAAATTAAATTAAACCAAAGAATCATTTAAAAATAATATATATGCGATAAATGTAATGTATATACTAAGTGATAATTCATAAATATGTATGATTTTATGCATCACTATCGTAAGTAATGTGTATATTAATGCATAAAACATTTCAATTAATTGATATATATATATATATATATATATATATATATATATATATATATATAGGTAGTTGGCATGATAAAATGGGATAACTAATTCGGTTCAATTTGTCTTCCAAAAGCAAGAGAGTTGCCTGTTTGTTTTCCATACATGAGTTGCACTCATTATGTATTTTTCAACTGAGTAAATAAATTAAAATTTTGATCCCAAATTCAGTCAACTTGTCAATTTTTTTTATCTTCGCTCTTAATGAATTTCTCCTTTTGTCCCCTTACAAAATTGAATTAGGTGTTTTTACATTTATCATATATCTCATTTGTCTGCTTATGATGTCCCATAAAAAACCGTTTCTATATGAACATTGTTTTGGGATATAAAAATAAATTTATTTTATGATAAACCAAATGAAATTTCCACATCACGTAAATAGTAAAACATTAGAAGATTATGTATAATCCAAACTTATCATAATTCGACCAAGGCAAAAAAAATTCAAACTCTACATATTTCAACCTAAGTCAATTTTTTTTAAAAATTCGGGTTAAAGTCAGGTTTATATATATATAAAAAAACTCGGATAATAAGTTTCAGGGTTCTACTTTTACCTTCTATGTTTAGTGTTTCCACTTCTGAGGCTAATGAAGAACCTACAATTAATGCTGGACCAGCAAAAGCAATAAAATTGATTGAAAAAACTCTCTATGAATTTGAGTGAATTTACAAAGCTAACCAATAAAAAAGAGGGCAAATGGGTCGGATTCTTTTGTGTTCACTCTCGAGTGGGTTGTTTTCCCCCGACTGCCTATATCCCAATTCGAGTTCAACTGTAAAATTTCAATCAAAACCAAAAACCACCTCATCTGTGTTTTTTAACTCTAGGGTAAAATACCTGCTTGCCTAATCCTAGAATTATAGGCCGAGCTTTCAACACTTACAGGTATGAAGGCTTCTCGGCATTGACCTCGGTAATATTGTTAACACAGCTCCCCCGGCGGTGCTTTCTTTTTTAAAAAAATTAATTTCATGCTTCAACTGAAATGGGCATGGTTGACCACTAAATTTATCCATAAATTAAAGCAAATACAATTAGTCGGTGTCCGAGTCTAGAGAAAGATATAATCTCGGTCAAACCGACCTTTTTTGCCGAGGAAATGAGAAAGGGCTCTCCGTTCTTTGCTTACTTGACTTCCCATGTCTACTGTCGTTCATACCAAGCAACAGAGAAGCTGCAGAAGGAAATGCCTGAAACTTGATAAGACAAGAAAAGAGTGGAGGTAGGAAATGCCAATGCAGTGAACTATGAGATGTGTGTAAATCTCATGTACGAGTGTATGATAATATATTTTGTTGGCAGCGATAAAAGGGCAAGGAAACTAACCAGAGTCCATAGCTCGCTCTCTGGAAGGCATCTGCTGCCTTGAATTCAATCCATTAGTCGCTGTTGAGTCCCCATTGCTGCCAGTTGCACCGCCTCCAAGCCTATGTGAGATCCAGTGGTCAGTGAGGATGCCATTTGATTCATCAGCTTCATCTCTCAAACCAGACTGTGCTGATGCACCTGAAGGATATGTTGGAAGAAATATCTGAAGCGAGGGATTTTCTTCACCAAAGAAGGTATTGCCAACCAAGCCATCATGTACAATTGTATCAGTCTAACAAATGGAAGAACCAGGGTCTAGGGTTGCAGATCCCATTGTTGTCGGAGGAGCCAATTTATAACCATTCATTGTCGACGAGCAATTGAGAGAATTACATTGCAGATCAACAAAGGTATCTGATATTGAAGTAAAGACTGAAGTAAAGGCTGAAGATATAGAGTGTAGGATGAATGATAGTGTTATGATCACATGCATATGAATGCATGGATGTGATTTTCTGTTATTGTTTAGTTCCAAGCTGTTAGTTTGTTATGAATCAGTTTTATTCCTCTTGTATAAATACATACTCTCTAGCTCAAGAGAGATCAGATGATTCATTAATGAAATTGCAGAGAGTTCTATCTCTCATTTTGTTCATTTCTCTGTTTCTTGAGATAGCTCAAATGTTATCTTGTCATGGTATCATTCGCCAATCCTGGTGGTTGTGATTCTTCCGCTGTTATTTTTCGTTTCTGCAGTCTTCTTGATTCTTCTCTGTTCTTTTCTTGAGTCTTGTGTTAAGAAAGCATTTCTTGTTTTTTTTTTGTGGTCATCATGGTTGACTTGACTATTGATCCCACCCATGCTTCTGAGGACGTGTCTCCAAATACTTCCTCTTTAAGTCCGGGAGCTTCGCGAGGAGTGCTTGCTGTTCAGCACATACCAAAGAATGACACGGTTAAACTCACTGAGTCCACCTATCTTCTTTGGAAGCATCAGATAGCTTTGATAATTGATGGTTATGGGTTGTTGAAATTTATTTCTGATGGTTCCATTGTACCTGATGAGTTTCTTGCAAATGCTGCTGGTCAACTTGAAGAAAATCCAGGTTTTGCAGCTTATCGTCAACAAGATAAGCTTCTTGCTTCTTGGATTTTAACCACTGTAAGCACTGAGGTTCTTCCTCATTTGACTGGTCTCACAACAGAGTTGTCGATATGGAACACTATAGCTCGACTTTTTGGTGCTCGTTCCAGTGCAAAGACCTCTTCTCTCCGACACAATCTTCATTCCCAACGCAAGTCTGGACTGACTATAAGAGAATATCTTGCTAAGGTCAAGTCTATTTGTGACTTGTTGAATGCTGCCGGCAGTGTGGTTACTGAACAAGAACATGTCAGTGTGTTGTTGGCTGGGTTGTCAATGGAGTTTGAATCCATCATTGCAATTGCATCACGAGAAGCATTGTCTCTTGATATGCTCACTGAGATGTTGTTAGACTGTGAAGCTCGACAGAAGGTGTTCTTGAGCGAGGGTATTTCTGCTAACCTTGTTGTTCGTTCTAGAGAAGGCAGTGCTACTGAAGTCAACACTCGTGGATCTCTGGATTCTACCGTTGAGTCGTCACAGGATCACACATCTCGTGGTCAGACGAATAACTATCGAGGTCGAGGCCGAGGGCGTCATCAAGGTTCGAATCGGCCGCAATGCCATCTGTGCGGTCGCTTTGGGCATGTAGTTCAAAAATGCTATCATAGGTTTGATAGGGAGTACACATGGGTGACTGAATCAGATTCATCAACTGGAAATGGTTCAAAATCGTCTGCTGAGAATTCTACCAAGCATGTACAATCTGGTAGACAACCGTATGCTCATACCTTAACCTCTGTGCCTCCACCTTCATCTTTTGTTCCCACACCATTTTATTTTCCTTCGCCGTATGCTCCTGCATACTATTCCTTTCCTTGTACTTCTCCTGGTTTTCCTCCAGATGCTTCTCGCTTCTCTCATGGTGCATCGCATTCCTCTTTAACGCCTGGTTCAGCAGCCTACATTGCTACTGTCCCAACACCCTCGGGCTCTAGCTCCTCATTGTCTGCGGATTCTTTGTGGTACCCTGACACCGGAGCTACTCACCATGTAACGAATGATTTGTCTGTTTTTCAATCAGGTACCACCTATACTGGAGGTAGTTCCTTGCTCATGGGTAATGGTGAGGGAATTTCAATCACGCTTGTAGGCCAAGGTTTTTTGAGTTCTAGTAAGAAACCTTTGATTTTGCAGAATATGTTGCATGTACCTAACATAAAGAAAAAATTGCTATCTGTTTCTCAGTTCACTCGTGATAATGGTGTGTTCATGGAGTTTCATCCCTCTGAATGTCTTGTGAAGGATGCTCGGACTCAAGCAACTCTACTTCGCGGGAGGCTCACGGATGACGGGTTGTATCAGCTGCTGCCCTGTGAGGGTCAGAGGCCTTCTTGTGTGGTGAATAACGTCTCGAAGTCACCTGTGTCTTTGAAGTTGTGGCATCAGCGTCTTGGTCATCCATCCATTGATGTTGTTCAACGTGTTTTGAAGTTGTGTAGTATTGTTTTCAATAAAACAGGAGCAGTAAATGTGTGTTCTGCTTGTATGCAAGGGAAATCGCATAAGTTACCCTTCTGTAAATCTTTGACAGAATATAATGAGCCTTTTCAACTTGTTGTCTCTGATGTCTGGGGACCAGCTCCTGTATGCTCCACTGACGGCTTTCTTTATTATGTTTCTTTTGTTGATGTTTGTAGCCATTATACCTGGATGTACCTCTTGAAACGTAAATATGAAGTGGTTCAGTGTTTTCTTGACTTTGTGAAATTGGTTGAAGTGCAGTTTGGATACAAAATTAAAGCTCTCCAGACTGATGGTGGTGGGGAGTATCAACCACTTCGAAAATGGTTCTCTGCAAATGGAGTGCAACACCGTCTCTCGTGCCCTGGCACCTCGGAGCAGAATGGTAAGGCTGAGAGGAAGCATAGGCACATTGTGGAAACAGGATTGGCAAAGTTAGCTCAGGCTTCTTTACCTCAGAAATTTTGGAGCTATGCTTTTGCTTCTGCTGTTTATCTTATAATAGATTGCCCACACCTGTTTTGCATGGCAAGTCTCCCTTTGAAGCTCTGCATCATGTCTTGCCAGATTATTCTTTTCTCAGGGTGTTTGGTTGTGCTTGTTATCCTTGCTTGCGGTTGTTTAATCGTCATAAGCTGGATTTCAGGTCAAAGAAGTGCGTGTTTCTAGGATATAGCACTTCTCATAAGGGATACAAGT